GGATCCTCTGCTACTAATTTTCTCTAGGAATACTGAATAGATATTTTTTTTTACTATACACGTCCTTTAGGATCTGTTGGTTGTAGGAGTCGTGGATATTTGGATCCTCTGCTACTAATTTTCTCTAGGAACACTGGATCGACATTTTTTTTTAACTATAGACGTCCTTTAAGATCTGTTGGTTGTGGGAGTCATGGATATTTGGATCCTCTGCTGCTAATTTTCTCTAGGAATACTGAATAGACTTTTTTTTTACTATACACGTCCTTTAAGATCTGTTGGTTGTGGGAGTCATGGATATTTGGATCCTCTGCTACTNTTGCTTAACAGAAGTGTCTGTAATGGAGCAGAAACATACATCTTTTAGATTTATAAGAATTTATCTCAGAACTCTTTAGCTGTTATTCATCGTATAAGAAATATATCTTTCGTTTTTTTTTTTCATTTAAAAAAAATATATTTTATGTGTCATACATTTCAATTTCGTGACCTTTTATACTGGATTTACGATCGCTTACATATATTTATATGAAGGACACTATATAAAGTCAGTTTTGTTTATAATTTAAAGTTTTTTTAAATATTTAATGCAGAACTTTTTCTGCGATTCGAAAAATCAATAGATTTCATTAATAGTAATTGATAAATTTGTCCGATGAATTAAATTAGATCTGATAATTCATAAATTGTCTTAATAAATTAAGACAGTGCAAAATCTGTAGCTAGGATTTAAAGAATTTATTTTTTTCTCATTTTAGCTGTTAATTTTCTCTAGGAATACTGGATAGACATTTTTTTTTTACTATACACGTCCTTTAAGATCTGTTGGTTGTGGAAGTTATGGATATTTGGATCCTCTGCTACTAATTTTCTCTAGGAATACTGGATAAAAATTTTTTTAACTATACACGTCCTTTAAGATCTGTTGGTTGTGGGAGTCATGGATATTTGGATCCTCTGCTACTAATTTTCTCTAGGAAAACTGGATAGACATTTTTTTTTTTACTATACACGTCCTTTAAGATCTGTTGGTTGTGGGAGTCATGGATATTTGGATCCTCTGCTACTAATTTTCTTTAGGAATACTGAATAGACTTTTTTTTTACTATACACGTCCTTTAAGATCTGTTGGTTGTGGGAGTCATGGATATTTGGATCCTCTACTACTAATTTTCTCTAGGAATACTGAATAGACTTTTTTTTTACTATACACGTCCTTTAAGATCTGTTGGTTGTGGGAGTCATGGATATTTGGATCCTCTGCTACTAATTTTCTCTTGGAATACTGAATAGACTTTTTTTTACTATACACGTCCTTTAAGATCTGTTGGTTGTGGGAGTCATGGATATTTGGATCCTCTACTACTAATTTTTTCTAGGAATACTGAATAGACTTTTTCTTTTACACTAATTCTCTGTGACACCTAAAATATTATTAAATTTGAGGCTTATAACTACCACGCATTAAACTCTTCAGAAACTTTTCCAAAATTCTCACATTTTTTGTTACCATAAAATAGTATAAAAATTGGTACTGCCCTGAATTCTTTGCTCATTTGTCTAAGTCACCTTAATTTTTTTTCTCTTGAAAAATAAATTCAAACGAACCAACAAATAAAATTTCAATGCTAATTTTATTTTCAAATAATTTTTAGATTATTTTTGATTTAGAAAGATTTATTTTTGTGAAAAAAATCTTTTGTGAGAAATGGAGTAAAATCATTTCTATAATACGAAAAAAAATTGAAAAAAATTACAATCGGGTTTAAAACTTGAAAAAAATGATTAAATAGCTAAAAAAAACCAATGTAAAAATAAAACTCATAAAACAAACTGAAATTTTCACTTCATTAGGGTTAAGAATGCATTTTAAAAAAAATCTTTCATTCTTTTATTATATTTCGTCAGAAATTGCTTCGGGTTTAATGAAAAATATTTTTCAAATTACTTCAGTCATACAGAAAAAAAAGAGATATCTATTAAACCGGGCATTGTTTGTCTTTTTAAACTTAGAATTTGGAATAAGCGTAGGAGTAAGTTCAAGTCCATGTCATTTGGAAGTAACTTACTCCATCCCCCACAATAAATGTATTATTATTTTTTATGAAAAGATGTCCTTCGGAAAAAGAGATTTAATTCCCTGGAAGAAATAATACATTTGATTCACATTAAAGACTTTTTTTATTGTGATTTTATTGCTTATCGCAATTTGAGTTGGAAGTCTTGCAGGTAAACCAGTAAATTCTTTGATGATTGTTGCCACTTTTGAGAATATATGGCGAATAGATATGATTTAAATTATTGCTTTTTTATGGAGGTCTTTTTCTTTTGTTATAAAAACTAATAAAGTGCATATTTTGAATTTTGAAATTTCTTTTGAGTAATGTGTTTTATGACTTGCTCATCCATCAATCCAATCCGGGGTATCATTTTACACGTTAGTACTCTGCAGTTATTAATAGGCAGTATACTCCGTTGCAAGTTTTGAAAATACCATTGCGGTATAGGATTTTAGTAATCATCCGCGACGGCATATAGTTCTGTTTTATTTAGCTATCAAATTTTATAATTATGCTATCAAAACAATATAAAAGCTTTAAAAGTTAAACTCGTAGGACAGATATTTAATTCGTGCTATGTTTTAAAAGCAAAAAGAAGGCCACACTACGTCCTTTCAAGAGTTGGCGATGTTGATATTCATTCGCGCTTGGAGCTTGCCATCCATTTAGCTTGCACTAAAATGCAAACAGACTCTAATGGTTTTTTCTTAACTTGCAACAGAGTATAGATTTCCAGTTTAGTTAACGTTTTTTGTAATGGATTTTTTTTTTCAATGGCAGCTAATTTTTTATTTTAACAGAGCTTAGCTTGGTAAAAAGTTGTTTAAAATGTTTTCATGAGTTTTTTTTAATAAAATAAAAAATGCATACAGGTGGTAATTAAATGTAAAAATGCATGGTAATTAAATATCGATGTTTTTCAGTGTTGGTCTCCACTTAAATGTCTTATTTTTATTTCGTTATTTGTTACCATGGAAATTATTTCAGTTACTAAGTGTTGCATTTCTGAAGAAAAAAAAAAATTTCGACCGAAAATGGAAACTATAGCACTATTTTCCGCCAGATCTGTATTTTATTGTTTTTTTTTCTGAGAAAGTCCACGGCTGCTTAATTCGCTTATTTCTTCCACCTCGCTCAGTGCTAACATAAATTACTGTGATCTCATTTTTTCACTTATATGTTAAGCAAATGAAGGTTGAAACCACCAAAAAGTTTCAGACAAACCTGACTTAATCTCATTTTTTGAATCCGAAAGAACATGGGTTTTGTGTGAAAGTTCACATAATTCTACCACTCTTTAACTTTTATATTAATTGTCAAACTTTAAAAAAAAATATTATTTATTATGAAAATAGATATTACATTATTTAACGTTTATTTTTAAGAATATATTTGTTTATTATTGTTCGTATATTACGTTTGACTGATAGTCTGTGATGTGTATACACATATATGCCAACCAGTAAATAATAACGCCTTACATTGTTTTAAGTTGTAACAAAATTACAAATGAACTAGCCATAATTTGTTTAATTTTTCCAGCACTTTCCAGTATTCGTTTAATTTTTCAAAAGTGTCTATCATCTCCAAAAGTCTTTTTAGTGGATCTGTTAATTACAATTTTTTTTAAAAGCTAATTCCTATTCCTCAATATCAGATTCAAGTTTTAAAAATTTATTATCTCAAAATTCCTTGAAAAATCGTCGAATTTGGATTAAAGAATTTTCGTGAACGGTAGACACACTAACTTTAGAACTTCATTGCCAGATTCACAGCAGGGTTCGTAAGGTCCTCTAAAAAATTTAAAATGGTATCAATATTGTGATAAAAAATTTATCAATTTCTCTTTATTTACTTTCAGTGTAAAATTAAAAGTACTAACCATATGACGTCGCAACTAGATGCATATATTTGGATATACGTGTCGGGAATATTAATATATTTTCATAAGTCTCTTTTTTATTTTATTTCTAACACTTTTTAAATTTTTCAAACCTCGTTTCAGTTCTAATGTATTAGTTTTTTTAACTTGATTATATATCAGGGTGCGTAGCGTTTTTAAAAAGTGCTTATTTTCGATTTTCGTTTTTTAAAGGCCCTTAAAAGTACTTTTTTCATTGGGTGCTTTTAAAAAGTGCTTAATTTACCCTTTTTCAAAATGAGATTTTTCCTTTACCATGTTGATTTTCGCTTCGAATTATGCAAAAAGACATAGTTCACATTGTTCTATTCAACGTTTTCACAATTAATTCAACCCCAATCTATTTCGGCGTATTGTCAGTACGTTGCGTACGAAAACGTCATTCGTTTTACATGATTCAAAATTTCATTATTTTTGACAATTGTCAGAAACGGTGCCGAAAGGTTTTTTTTTTTGACATGACGGTTAAAACAAGATAAAACCGTCAATTGTCAAAAACTTTCCAACCCTGCCTAAATTATGACATTTTTTTTAAAGTGGGAAAAAATATTTTTTGAGTGCTTGAAAAGTGCTTAAAAGGTGCTTATTTTTTGCTGAATAATTTGGCTACGCACCCTGTATATAGTGATAGACAAAATCCTTGTAAATCAAACTTATCATGTCAATAATGAAATTTCAAATGGATAATTAAGTTATTAAGTTAAGTTATTTGACTGTTTCTATGTGGTTTGGCAATCAAAACTAATTAAAAACAGTTAATGTCATGTATTCTATAGTCTATGATACTTTGTAAATTACGCAAATAAAGCTACTAACGAGCATTACTGATGATTAACGAACACGTGTTCCTTTACTTTTGACGGTCTCGTGCTCTGCCTCATATTTGTGGAAGCTGATATTTAAATCCATGCAAATGGCGCGGATATCATATGGCTCATCACGGGAAAAAGAAACTATGCATAATGCATAATGGAATGTATTACCCAGGAAATGACACAATTTTTTTTCTTTCGTTGCAGGTGGGATTGTGCGATGGAGATGAAGTTCGGATAGAGGGATCGAAAAACAATAACAGTGCCGGCGTTCAGCAGCAGCAACCAGAGTTCTGCGTTCAGGTGTCCAGCAACGGAAAGAGTTGGCAGATCAGAAGGTCCCTGGACAACTTCCAGATGCTGGACAGGCAGCTGCATAGATGTGTCTATGACAGGAAGTTCAGCTTGCTCAAAGAGATTGAAACACAACCAGAAGAGGTGAGCTCACATGCATAGTTATAAGTTTTAATTGCTTTTAAAACACGTTTTGCAGGGCCGGGATAGCCTCGTTGGTAGGGCGTTGGGCTTATGTGTAAGTGGTCGTAAGTTCGGTTCCCACCAGTCGAAGACTCCCCGTGATGGTGACTGTTGAAAGCTAAATTTGTCGGGGTCACAAAGTTTTCCGAGTTCCCATAACAAATCAATACCTTTGGGGTACTGGATCGGAGATTACTCGTGCTCTGGTTCAGGTCAAATTAACTATTTGCGGATGGAAGGATGGTGTGTGAATGTGTTCTTCCTGTAAAACTGTATTCGACGTATGTGTGTGGCAGAAGTAGAATTCTTATCCATAGATGGCGCCACTTAAAAACAAGAAGCTTACCCCCCTTCCCTTAATGGCACACGACAACAACACGTTTTATAATACGTACTCTTTTATATGCGTTAAAGCTCCGATTTATACGAACACTATGCGTCCATATCTCGGATTATTCTTATTGCTTCATTAAAATTATAGAAAGTGAACGTAATGTGTGGCTGTAGAATATCAAAACAACTGATAGCTTTCGTGAGTTATAAGGGGTGTTTTGTAATGACCGCCCTTAATATGTATTTTTGAAATCCTTTTTGATAACAAAGAGAAGGAATAAACGTATTATGATAGGTAAATTAATACGCTTAAAACAAAAACACTATCGAAATTAAACGAACCATCATTAAGGAAGGCGGGACTGAAAATATTGAAACTCATTTGATTTCCGGAGGAAACAAGAAAGAGTGGAAATGCGATTATTTCAAACACCTCTAAGTGTCCTCTGACTAACTGGATTTCTTTTTTTTTTCATTCCACTTTACTAGGGATTTGAAAATAATCAATGTTCTATTCGGTCTATGAATAGCGTTTTTGTTTTTTCTTCGCTTGTCAATTAATTTACGATCCTTGCTGTTTTTTTGACCCCTGCTGTATTTAGCAGTAAACGGCTATTATCTAATACAAAACCATGAAGAAAAAACATGGCTAAAATGTGAATAATATTGTTTTCGCTGTTATAAAACTGAAAAGTTCTAGTCAGTTTTGCGGATATGTGATTATCTAGATATGGTTTAGTCACGATTAATTCGAATAATTGTGGTCCTGTTGCATTCAGGAAGTTCTATTGTTTAGATTGAGATTTTTGTTGCACAATAAAACTCAATCATAACATTATTTTTTTTCTATTTAAATTTTCTTGACCATGTCTATTCCCATTTATCCGGATAATTTAAGTTTAGTTACATTACACTTAGAGATTACACATTACACTTAGAGATGTACTCAAAACATTAAACACAGAGTTAACTTTTAATTTTTAAGAATTTTCAATTTTTCCTACCAATATTTTAGAACTACGTATGAGTGTTCTCTATTGTATTTTAGATGATATTGTTAGAAATAATTAATTGATGAATGTATTTCAAATTCTCTTGTTCTATGTAGATAGTTATTTAGTGAGTAAAATTCCGATCATTAGATGAAAAGTTATTCAATTCTCATTATTAATTTATTTTACTGGAGAAATCTATATATATATTTCTCTTACACGGCGACAAAAAAAAGCCTCATTACAACTCCCCGAATGGCAACGCTTGAAAATCGACCAATGATTGCCGTTAAAAATGTCGCATGCCAAATCTAGCTGAGATGGCTCAACATATAGCGCTTTTAAAAACGGAAACTGAAATAACCAATGAGAGCATAAGCTAGGCAGAATGAGTAGTCTTTGTCGATAGATCTCTATTTTAGTATTTTGTCGAAAGCGCTTTTTTTCACGAATTTATATATTACGAATTTATTTGACGATTTTTGATTTATATCACGACTTTATTTGTTTTACTAGAATTTATTTGTTTATGCAGGTTTTTCCATTGCAATTCACTTATTTCAATTTTTAATAGACTTAATTATAGCCAAAATTTTAACCTTTTTAAAGAGATATCAGTTTTAGAAATTTTATCTTAAGATTTTATACTATAGCACATTTCTAATAGGTTTAACGAATTA